TTTTAAGTAATTTTTCTTGAAGCAACTTCAGGGTCTGCTAATTTTAGTTAACACCGTTTTGTAATGTGATCACAAACATTTTATAAATACTAAGGGGCTAAAAACCCCCAACTCCTATTGCTGACCATTCATACTGGTGCAATCCATACCTTCAGGATAAAGGACATGTCCTTGGAGGTGAGTTTCTTCCACATTTAAAGCTCTGGATATTGTTCAAAACATTTTCTCCCACCCACAAAGATTGAGTGTGGTGTACATACCTTGTTCCTTATCCAAAATAGTACTTTGGTGTCATTTTAATTGGTTTACTACTCAGGCTGAATATACTTCTGTATATTTGCATTAAGTGGCTGGATTGTCCCTTTGGAAGGTATCTGCATCTCTTTCATTCCTTTACCTGTTTGTGCCTTCCTTCTAAAAAGTTGTACTTACCTATTATGATCTTCTTGGAGTAACTATTTCTCTTCTAGTTGTTTTCCTTTTTTTTTTTTGTCTTTAAAGTAGGCTCCACGCTGGGCTCGAACCCACAACGCTGAGATCAAGAGTCAGGTGCTTAACCAACTGAGCCAACCAGGTGCCCCAGTTGCTCTCCTTTTAATATACACAAGTTCTTGGGGCTCCTGGCTGGCTGTAGTCAGAAGAGCATGAGATTCTTCATCTCGGGTTCCTGAGTTTGAGCCCAGTGTTGGGTGTAGAGGTTGCTTAAAAATTTGAAAAACATGCACAAGTTTCTTGTATCACTTCTAATCTTAGAATGCTTTCCTGCCTTTAGGTATTTAACATACATCTACCTTCAGTTTGGGTTTCTCTTTTTTTTTTTTTAAATACTGGTCCCCTTCCTTTTCATGTAATAATCCTTTAACCTAGTTAGGTTTTTATTCTGGTATTTGCTATCAGAATTTAAACCTATTAAATCTATGCCTTTAACACCTATTATTTAGTTTGATGTCTTCTTAAGTTACCAGCAAAAAATAAAGCCTATTTCTGTTTCTTGGATCTGCCAATTTGCCAGTACAAACAAGCAATATTTAAAAGCTCCCGAATGACTCGTTTATTTAGTAATACTATTAAGAATAAATGAACAAGTTGAAGACAGTTTCTTAGACCAATGACGTACAAATCAAACCTGCGATTTAAATGTTCCTTGTAAAAGCAATCAAAATCTCTTCCTACCCCATCATCAGAATCATTCCGTATTTTGGTTTAAATGGATTGATTTTTAAAAAAGGGGGGGGAGGCACCAATTATATGTATATTTTAAAATAACTTACTGCTCCCCCAAATTTTATGGTAATTGACTTGTTCCTCCTTCCTTCTTCAGTATTCATATTAAGAACAGAAATCATGGGGCACCTGGGTGCCTCAGTTGTTAAGCGTCTGCCTTTGGCTCAGGTCATGATCCCAGGGTCCTGGGATCGAGGCCCGCACCGAGCTCCCTGCTCCACGGGAAGCCTGCTTCTCCCTCTCCCACTCCCCCTGCTTGTGTTCCCTCTCTCACTGTGTCTCTGTGTCTCTGTCAAATAAATAGATAAATCTTTAAAAAAAAAAAAAAAAAAAAATAAATAGATAAATCTTTAAAAAAAAAAAAAAAAAAAAGTCAAATAAATAGATAAATAAAATCTTTTAAAAAAAAGTCAAATAGATAGATAAATAAAATCTTTAAAAAAAAATCAGTCTTCATACCATCTGCTGCATTCTTTAATATAAAAGCTATTAAATGGCAGCATAAAAATTATGTGGTTGGGCTGTTTACTTCATTAACATTTTGACCAACTGCAAGAAGAAATCAAGTGTCTCGGGACACCTGGGTGGCTCAGTCGGTTATCTGCCTTTGGCTCAGGTCATGACCCCAGGGTCCTGGGATCAAGTCCCACACTGGGCTCCTTGCTCAGTGGGGAGCCTTCTTCTCCCTCTACCTGCTGCTCCCCCGCTTGTGCACGCTCTCTCCCCTCTATGACAAATAAGTAAATAAAATCTTAAAAAAAAAAAAAAAAAGAAATCAAGTGCCCAAAGCACCATGCACCCCCTCCCCCAGAGCAATGTCCTTTGCTGGGATTTCAAGGTTACTTATTTACCCTGTGGGGAACCTCTCAAAATCTCAATATCTGTCATCCTTTCCATTGCTTGGTGACCAATAAAGGAAAAAACACTTGTAGACTCACACAAGTCTTATTATCTCTTTATATCAATAAACAAAAGCATGCCCTGTGCTAGACAGTAGCTTCTTTTTCCAATGTCTTCCAGGAGTATTTTTTAAATGGCTTTGAGATGTGTCCCTGAGACAGGAATTCTACCTGAAGCTTTCAGAACTGTGTTCTCCCTTAATAAAGCAGAGATTCAGTTAAATATTCACTGAACACATGCAAATTCCTCCCCATTCTCACTCAATCAGTTTCAGTTACCCAGAACTGACTGATCTTACCCATTTGCAAAATACTTACAATGAAAAGTGGGTCATACCTACTTCTGACCTTGGGGACAGAGCTTATTTCTAGCGCTCACATGGGAACAAACTGGCTCTTCAGGCAATGATTTTTGAGCAAAACTAACTTGTTCTCAATCTTTACCTCAACTTCCCTTTCCCCAAAGGCATGCGCTGGCATCAGTGAGTTCTGAGGGAAAGAGGGGCAATGTTTTTTCCACCAACACCCAGGGGACTTCCTTCTTAACACATAGGAACCTCTCTACTTTCATTAGAGGGCCCCCAGATAGTCTTAGGAATGGTCAATGTATTGAGAACCTATTAAGAACATTCAGACAGAAATGGGTAGCCAATCCTATCCCAATCTTCAGACCACTAGCAGAGTGTAGGTTCTAAAGAATTATAACCAAGAGCCACAAAAGGGTACCCTTCCCCTGCCCCACACACTTAGTTACACAAGGACTTTCAAGAAGTCAATTCACAATTGAAGCAGTTAAGGTGTACCTGGACGTGGCCATATAGATTATTAACAAACTGAGCCTTCCACCTCAGCCCAAATATCCATCTGCCACTTGGCTCTCCACCCAAAATGCCCATCAGGCACCAGAGTACCAACTCACATTTGAATTTCATCCTGGGGTTCTTTTTTTTTTGTTTTTTTTAAAGATTTTATTTATTTGATAGAGAGGGAGAAAGAACACAAAGGGAGAGGGAGAAGCTGACCCCCCGCTGAGCAGGGAGCCCGATGAGGGGCTCAATCCCAGGACCCCGAGATCATGACCTGAGCTGAAGGTGGATGCTCAACCGACTGAGCCACCCAGGTGCCCCCCGAGGTTCTTTTCACTACTCACACAGCAGACGCTCAGTGAACATGGACTAGATTTGTTGTAGGGAGTTTAGCACTGCAGACAAAACCTTCTGCACATCAACTTCTCTCTCCTCTCCATATAAAGTTCAAATTTCCACCTCCTTGACATTTCATCATTTTAACCACAGATCTCTCCTTAAGCTTCTGGCAAACTATGACAACTCATCTTTGTCTCCAGAGTGGTGGATCCCAGGAGCAGAGAGCACCAGCAATTCTCTCAAACATGTTTCGAGGACCCCTGAGTGTTCTCAATCTCCAAGGAGAGAAAGGGGTTGGTAAGGTAATACCACATTCTGGGGGCAGGACCCAGACAGCAGGTCTTTAAGTTCCCCCAGGTGATGCTGACAGCAGCCAAAGTCCAGGAGACACCAGCACCGTAAAGCAAATGACCAGGTCCTAATGGTAGTGGGATAAAAAGGGAAGCCACAAACCACTTCATCCATAGGGACAACAAGATCACCAAAATAGAAGAGAAATAAAATAAACTATGCACTAGTGGGGATGCTGGCAAACAATAATTTACGAGTGACCAAGAGCCACTCCGAAGGCATATAAAAGAAAGCAGGCCACTCTGGCCTAAGAATATGCCAGAATTAGTCACTGCAGAAACACAGACTCTCAAACCTCTAATTGTATGAGTATCAGATAATCTGACTCTTCAGAAAGACTACTTCAATACCATACATAGGAATATAATAGCTGCTGAGAAACTTACCTTCTGCCTCTTCTTTAGAGCACATGATCAATTCTTCACCATATCCAAAAAAAAGGGTATCTTTTTTTTTTTTTTTTAAGATTTATTTATTTATCTGACAGAGGGAGAGCACAAGCAGGGGGAGTGGGAGAGGGAAAAGCAGACTCACCACTGAGCAGGGAGCCCAATGTAAGGCTCCATCCCAGGACTCCGGGATCATGACCTGAGCTTATCCGACTGAGCCACCCAGGCACCCCAGGATCTTATTTTTTAAACAATCCCCTTATTCAAACACTCTAAGAATGTAAATAACGGTTTCCCATTCAATTTTTGCTCAACGATTAGCAACGTTTCCTGATTTTCGAGCTTTATCCTACCAGAGAAGGAAAACATCTCATGATTTTTTCCTTTCTTGAAACCTTGTCACCTGGACCAGACAAGATTTTAAAATCATTTCAGGAATGCCATCACGTGGCTGTAAAAGAACTTTTCTATGCCCCAAAGTTACACGTGTCCCTTCCTAACCCCAAAGGGATGAAGCAAGGGTCTCAGTTACCAGGAGGTGACTTCATTACTTAGGGAAGAGTCTGCGATAAACTTCTGTTGCTCACTTATTTTTCACCGATAAATCAATCTGAACAACAGAGGTTATCTGTCTGGAAAGCATTAAGTACCCAGTCTTTCTGCAGTCCTGACTGAGGGATGCTAATGCCCACTTGGTATCTGGGGAAGGGGCCGGATAAGAAACAGGCAGATGATGTGGTGGGGGCCCAGCTAGACAAGCTGTGACTGGCTAGTGGACTCTGGCCACACCCCTCTCATCTTCCTGAACCCTCCACCTCCCCAAGGGATTACTGCTGCATGGATGTCACATGAGCTCATTTGGGTCATTGTTCCATGCTCCCACACACTGGAGCCTGCCCAGTAATCTACACATGCCATCTGAAAGGGAGCGGGAAAGGTTTTCTGTGCAAGAAAGAACAAGGGAAACAGGTGAAGGGCGGGTTAGGACTGACCTGGATTGCCTGGCGGCCCTGCTGCGCATCGGCCAGCAGCTGGATGGTAAGTGCCCGCGAGTCCTGCAGCGCCTCCTGGAGGTAGATGAAGCTGTGGCCCCCATGCCGGCCCATCGTACACTCACGACAGATGGGCACCGAACAGGTGTCACAGTACAGGTGCAGCACCTGCGGACCAGAGAGCGGACAGGCATGAAGGAGAGATTCAGGACCAGCGGGGAGGGGCAGCCACGGGGTGCTCTGTGGATTCCAGACCCTCAGCCAACTCCTTCCCAATTAGCAAGCACATCCCTACAGAAAGAGGGCGCAGCACAGTCAATGTGAGCACAACCTGCCCTCCCTTCCTACGCCCTCGGCCCCAAATCAAGGAAAAAACAGCCAATGCCCTCTGTCCACTCCAGTTTCATTCAGAAGTGTAACTGAGACACTGCAAAAGCAAAGATGAAATAAAACAATCCTCCTGGCATAAGAGATTTTCCCATGTACCTCAGATTAATTACCCAGAAAAGTTCTAAGATTGTGTTTCCCTGGTCTGAGATTGGGGGCCCAAATGAAAGAATATACCAGAAAAATTTGTCTTGCCACCCCAGTCTCTGGGTCTGTGAAACATGGCTAGGAGCCAGAATTAATCACCCTCACTCCACAGCTTGCAGCCACCGTCCCCAGCAAGGAGATTAGTTCAAAGTGCAAAGCATGGTTCTCCCAGGCACTCAAGCAAGCTACAGGCTTAAGCTTCTGGAAGGAAGGCAAAAAGCTAGTGGTTAAGGTCAGCCAGCTTCTTGTCTTTCTTCTTCCTGCCAAGTTGTTCCAAGGAGTTGACCCAGCGAGGCAGCCCGTGCTGACAGAACTGCTTTATGTGATGTTCTGTATTTCCCTGGGGCCCAGCATGCTGGGAGGGGAGAAGGGTTGGCACAACCTCCACCTGCTGATAAATGAGGAGCTCTCAAGAGCAAAAGCTCCTTGGCACAGAAACTGGGCCAGTCTAGCTGTATCCCTCCACAAAGCAGAGCACTTAGCACCACTCTGTGTAAATGTTTGCTGGATTGCTTTCAAGAGCAGTGCTTAAATTTGCCATTGGTATACCTGGGTATGAGGAAAAGCCAGCCAACATGCAACAGGCAGGGAAGCGGTGTCCAAGGGGCTGCTTTCCCACACACAATACGCTTAATCCCCAGATGAAGACAAGAGGTCATGACGTCTTGGGGCCACACAGCAAGCAGGGGCAGAACAGGGAGGCCAACGTGAGCCTTCTGAAGAGTTGGTTCCGAGACATTCCCGACACCAGCTCTTCAGAGCACTAAGCACCTTACTAGGTATCATGGAGTTCAGGATGTGAGACCTGAGGCAAGGTGATTCTGTGTGGAACAGAACAGGAGCTCACCCTGGCCCAGAAGCAGGCAGAGCGTTACAGGACACGGAGATGGGGAGGGAGGGCTGCAATGCTCCCATTAGAAAGACCCACACAGAAAGGGCCCCGGGTGGGAGTGAGAATGCTGCTTCTCTTCTCTTCAGGTTAAAGATTTACTTATTTGAGGGCACGTGCTATTGTGTGAGTGGGGGAGGGGCAGAGGGAAAATCTCCAGCAGGCTCCCCACTGAGCACAGAGCCCTGACTTGGTGAGATCATGACCTGAGCCGACAATTGAGGGAGCCAAGTAGGTGCCCCCCCCCCACTTCAGGTTATTTTATTAACTAACCAACACGTTGGCACAGAGCATGTCCACTAGGAAACCGAGCTCGGGGAAATAGGCCTAATCCACTCAGGATTCAGAGAGTTAAAAGGGAGGTGAGTGATCCTGCATGGGTTAGGCTGCTTCTCTAGGAACTTTTGGATTCGGAAATAGGGCAAAGATTTAGGATATTATATTCCTGTTTCTAGGAAATGGTCCTGATATGGCAGGTTTTATGGGCTCCATACTGTAAGAGGATAAGGTCTGTGACTGGGCTAGGACCGCTTGTCCAGTATAGTACTTCCCCAGCAAACTCGGGAGACTGAAATCTGGTGACAGTAATCTGCCTTCAAGACCAATTGTGGTTTTTTTTGGAGGGGGGAACAGAGGGAGGAGAGAGAGGATCTCAAGCAGGCTCCACACTCAGCATGGAGTCTGACATGGGCCTCGATCCCATGACCCTGAGATATGACCGGGGCTGAAATCAAGAGTCAGACGCTTAACCGACTGAGCCATCCAGGCGCCCCAAGACCAATCACTGTTTAAAACAGGTTCACCATTTAGAGTTGATCTAATCTTTCTAATCTGATAAAGCTAAAATTCCCAAGCTAACCTTAAATACTAACCAAAAGATGCTGAACTGGATAACTTGGGAGGAATTCCTGGACAGTCTCTTTCTACAATGTGCTGCTAAAGCAACCCCCGCTCCCGTTTCAACAACTCAACCTCATGCCTTCCCTTTGCTCCCTCCATTTGTCATAGGAATAAAGGCATCACTTCTATGATGCCCATGTGAAGTGTGAAAACCTCCCCATCTGCAGGTTCCTTTTAAGTCAGAATGGAACATGTCTCTGAACCTTCTGTCCTCTGCCCCTGCCCAACAGCTAAGCATCTCCTCTTCATCTCTTCTCTGAACAGCTGTGTGGACTGACTGGAGGCCCCTTGCTTTCGTTAGTCTGTGCAAGCATAACCGTTCTCACTCGTACAGTGAGTGGAAAAGAACCTGAGACTGTTAGTCCGAGCCTGGCATCATCTGGCCATAGGGCCATTCATCCAGTCACCTGACTGGGCTTGGCTCATATATGAAACACAAGGGGTCTGGCTAGGTGCCTCAGGAGACCACTTCCATCCCTGAAATCCCAAGAGCCCTATCTCGGGGACTCAACACCACAAACCAAAAGGCTTTGAAATAATTCTGGGCTGAGGCACCTGGGTGGCTCAGTCATTAAGCGTCTGCCTTCGGCTCAGGGCCTGGGTCCTGGGATCGAGCCCCACATCGGGCTCTCCGCGGGAAGCCTGCTTCTCCCTCTCCCACTCCCCCTGCTTGTGTTCCCTCTCTCGCTGTGTCTCTGTCAAATAAATAAATAAAATCTTAAAAAAAAAGAAAAGAAAAGAAAAGAAGTAATTCTGGGCCAAGCAAGGAAGCCAGGCACCAATTATGTGACTGCAAGGAACCAAGGTGATTTTTCTGGGTTTTAGGTTTTTACAATCCAGAGCCTGGATGATGTTGTGCATAGGCGATATCCTGCAAATGGTAGGTTTTTCAAGCATTCTGCAGAGGAAGTAGCCAGAAAAGAAATCCTGGTCACAACAAGCGGCAGCAGGGTACCCAAAGCCCGGGCCCCGGGCCCCTTTAGATATCCAGCCCACGATCTCTCAAGTGGGCAGGGGTATCTAGAGGCAATCCCGCCTGGCATCATGTCACAGGACTGATGCAGCTCTAAGTGCCTAGAGCACACTGTGATTTTGGAGGCTCCAGTGCTCTGCAGTGCCAGGACTGTGGGAACACCACAGAGGTGGGGCTGGTGCTGGGGGACACCCAGCTGGTTCATAATAAAAAGGTATGGGTGAGTAAAACGGCATAGCCCCAGTGGTGCTTATAATTAATAAACTATCGATTTTTAAAACAGTGTCCAAAAACTGAAAATACAGTCAATTTTTATAAACCATTTAGCTAAACTTTGGCATAAAACTTTGGGAAGATTTCATGTTCTATTTAGAAGCTCCGTATCTCCTCTACCTGCCATTTCTAAGGTCAAAAACCCACAATTTTAGAGCTTGTGAAACACGAGCAATAGTAAGGATGCGCATGGGTGCAATTCTCTCTGCAATAGCTGGAAGATTATTTTACAAAAGAATAAACTGGAACCCATGTCTTCCAAAGGGCTAGAAATGTGGCAGAGGCCATGAACTGTGGCTCCGGAAGGAGGGGGAGGGAGGAGCGGTCCTCGGGCGGCAGGAATTCAGGGCCTGGAGCTGCCTGTTTGGGGCTTCCCGGGCAGATGCACGACACGCCCCCTCCAGCCCCCCTCCCCCCCTCGCCTGGCGACAATCTGGCTGCCCCAGCTGAATGGAGCAGGCTCGACCTCTGACCTTGCAAGTGACCACCCTCTTCCCTGCCCCCAGCTTCCAGAACGCCCCACCCACTGCCTTCCTCTGCCATAATTTCTAAAATACCAGGCACAGACAAAGACCTAGGAATGTGGGCCCAGCAGGAGAGGAAGGAGGGAGGTTAAAGAAAAAATAAATAAATAAAAATACCAAGTAGGCAAGTTTACCTTAGCCAGTGCTTAAATAAGTGCTTTGTTAATGAACAAGACTGTGTTCGTTTCTGGAATCTACTACCTGTGATCCAACAAGGAACAAACGCACGCGCGCGTGCGCGCGCACACACACACACACACACACACACACACACACACACCCCTCTCAGCGGACTCCTATGAGAACACCATGCATCCAGAAAGAACGGGCTTCCAGTTTAAAATACAACTACCCACATCACTGAGGAATGTAAACTCAAAGGATGGAGGGGCTGCTCCTCATTGAGATGCCCCAGTCGAAATATAGTAACTGCAGTACACAATGTTTCTGAGATTTCTTTCACATCCCTTAAAACAACTGGGGGCATTTGGCCTCCCACAAACATAGGCCTGGACAAAAGGAGGTCACCACCCACACAAGAGGGTTTCTAAGTTTCCCACTATAGAAATGAAGTGGAGGGTGGCAGGTGACAACCAAAAGCCTTACCTGTGTACACCCACCCACCCTGCACAATCTCTCCGGTTAAAGAACCCAAACCATTAAACCAAGTTCAAGGACTAGAGTCCAGCCAGTCTGAAACTAAGTCTGTGAAATAATATCAAAACCAGGTTTTACTTGATTTAGGAAAAATATACAGAATGCCAGTGTTCCAAAACCACAGTCCAAACCCGAGGAAGAAGTCCTCCTGCGTCTCTGGCCACGTGCTGCTCCAGAGCTGTGATCTGGGGCCTGGGGAAGAGGGGGAAAAAAGGAATCTGTACCCTCTGCATGCACAATTACTACCAGCTCCAGTCGGACCCTAGCTAAGGACAAGTTAAGGGGAGGGAGAAGGAGGGAGGGGGCGAGATGTGCTGAAGCATTAAAAAAAAAATGTTTTTAGGAGGGTGCCTGGCTGGCTCAGTTAGTAGTGTGTGAGACTCTTGATCTCAGCGTTGAGCTTGAGCCCCACGTTGTG